AATGACCTGGAAGCAGAACCTTTACTTTCTGTGGGCTATCAGAAAGCCACACACATCTTCTGTTATTATATTCACACATTCTAAATGCTGTTACTTTATGGTAGTCTCTTGATTTGCATAGGACAAGCATACTATAGTGCCTTTTACATAGGATATTGTTAAAACCCTCTTGTAGAAGTCTTTATTCATCTCCTTTTGCTGTCAGTTTTTGATCCAGAGCCAGCAACATTAGTAGAGCATGAACCCTAGGTGCCATGGAGGACTGCATAGGGAAATAATTTCATTCCATCCTTTTGGAGCAAGTTTGTAACTGGGAGGGAATGTGATGAAGAAGAAAGAGGCCATTGTGAAAAAATAGAGATGAAACCAGCTAGGAGTGTGCTACATTAGCAAGATATAAGAAAGCTGAAAATATATTTGATCTATGGTATTTCCCTTCTGTCTTCAAAGTCCAGCATTGTCTCTCTTTCCTCATTGATTTCTTTCTGGCCTTCTTCAACTAGCTTGTGAATTGTGCTATAATGCTGTTTGCTACTGCTGAAAGAGTAGAGCTGGGAAGCATCTTCCCATGCCTGAAAAGCTGGCAGGGGAATTGCTTCTGGTTCCTTGTTCTCAAAAAAGCACTTCAGGTTTCTCTCACTCAGCTTGGTGGCATACAGCTGGAAAATTTGCTCCAGTTGCTCCTTCTCCTTCTCTGTGTACACCCTCCAGAACATCAGCTGGAGGTGGCTGACTTTCGACTGGCAGCTGGCACAGCAAGTGGTTAGCAGGGAGAGAAGAGCTGTGGTAACTATCACGCACCAGCCTAAAATCTGGGAAAACAAAAGAAATGAGTTTGAGGTTAAAACGGCCCAAGTGAAAATGCTACTTAAATCAAGAGTGTCTGACAGAGTGACCACTCTTTCAGGAGGAGGCCTGCCATTCCTTTTGGAACCCTACTGTGGGCATCTCATCCCAGTTTGCATTTGGTGCCTGGCATTGGTCTTAATGGGGCATCCATATAAGGACCAAAGGGAAGCAGAAGACATCAGGATTGAGGCTTCTCAATAGCGCTCGTTTTGATGTCTCTTTCTCAGGAAGGCAAAAGCAGGTTGACTTTTACAGTGGAAGGTAAAACACTAAAGAAGAGTTGGCTTACACTAGACTCTATCTGCCTCCGCATCCCATTTTATAACAAAGGGAACTCGGATAACAAGAGCTGAATAGATATGTCCAGCGCAATGGCAATGGCAGGTTCAGGGACAGATGATCTTGAATCAGACCTCAACTACAAGACTTTGTATGAAGAAAAATCTAAGAGAGGTCTAAATGATCAATCAAATAATGTTAGGACTGAATAGAGCTATAAAAAAAGCAGAGCAGCAGTAGTGTCTGGCTAATTTAGGAGAAGATACTAATTTAGGAGAAGAGTGTATTGCAAAACTATAACTATCTGGCATATAGTGTATTGAAATTGCTCACTGAATTCTGTCACACAAAGGGAAAAGTGCATAGGGAGAATAAAATATCACAATCACTAGATAGTAAATGGTTTTCTATCTCCTTAAAGTGTTAAATAAAATTACCCAGCAATAATTAGGATTAAGACAAAATTCTGAATTGTGACGAACTGCAAAACCAAAAAGGGTAAGTAACTTTTGTCCCAGATCAATCAACCTTTTAAACTGTGACCATTTTTAGATGTGTTGTTTTCAGACTTCTTTTTAATTTAAACAAAACAAAACCAACAACCGCATTAATTAGCTAACAGGAATATAAAAGATAGTCTTAAATTTAAAAAGCATTCACCAATTCTTTTACCAGGAGATTCACTGAGATCTACACTATTCTTGTGAACTTTTTTTGACTTTGATGAATCAGCCCTTTGTAGTGGAGAATAATTTTTATGCCAAAACTGGTTTAAAATTACCTTCTTGCCCAATCCTGTGAGAAAGCTGGGAGGAGAGGGCCTGAGAAAGAAAAAATACTGTGTGCATTGGCAGGTCTGCGTTGGCACTGGAAAAGAGCCCAATTCATCTACACACTGATTAAAAATAGTTGCTGTATTTTCAGAGAACTTTTTTTTTTTTTTTCTGAAATATGCTTTTGCAGCATCACTCGACTTTCCTTGTACCAACTTCAAAGTTTGACAAAATTCTGTTAAGAACATTTTAAAAGAAGGAGCTACTTCCAGGATTAAAGCAAGGGCTGAGAGTGGAAAAATGTACTTGAAACTGTTATTGTGGGATGTTCTCCTCTAAGGAGAGCAGAAGTGTGAATGCAATTTTTTCATGCCTAATGCCACTGGCCTAGCCAATAGTTTTACCCACCTACTCCACTGCAATGTGTAACATTTGCAAAAAAACCCCTTGTTTTCAAACAGTGAAACAAATTCCAGTGTGGAGCAAATCTTCTAGCTTTCAGAGGCCTATATGAACTGGAACTGATTTCCCATGCTTTAATGGTGCTGATATGGAGAGCTGCAACCTTTCTCATGTGAACTCTTGCACTCATGTTAAAAAAAGAACTGCCAGTAAAAATCTGTATTTAGCTGAGGGAATATAGAAAGTTTCCTCAGGGAAATATGTGAAACAGAGAAGCTCGACAAACAGTATTCTTAGGGACTGGTATGGAAGAATAGCTTTGCCTTCTTTTATTTTTCCAGTCACTTTGTACTGACTGATGATTTCTATGGGTATTTGAGAAACTGCTCTTTTTAGCAGCTGTTTTCTTTCTTGCAGCTTGGAGAATGAACCCATGTATTCTCACGCTGTAAACTGAGTCACCGGTCTTTCACTATTTCCTATACAGACAACTTAAAGTCTTAAGCACTATTTATTATTTCCTTCTAAAACTCTCAAATAAATTGCTCTGTCTGCAGTGCAGGCTCTGTCTGCATTCCAGTCCTGTTTGCATGAGGACTTGAAAATAAACCCGGCTCTTGGGGAGGAAATGGTTCCAGATGGATGCAATTGTCTGACAAAAACTTGCTGGCTCCACAGAGTGTTTTTCCTTCCTCCTGACAATCATCTTTCCATTATTTTCTGTAGCCTTTTTTCCTTTTTTTTCCTTTGTTTTGATTTTTTGTTTCTGAATTTATTTACGTTAAAAGGCAGTGAGCAGAAATGTATCACACAAATATAGTATAGAATACAATCTCAGCTTTGCACGTTCTGCTTGTTTGATTTTAGTGTTTCTTCCTTCCTCCAAGCAGGACAAAAATGTGCTCTCATCTGGCATCATGAACATGAGGAACACAAACAGAAACATATTATGTAAGCAGTCACAAATCTGTCACAAATCTTATTTTCCAGTATTTTTCTACTGTTAGTGACCTAAGATTTCATCACAGTTATCATGATGGTATAAAATAGGAGAGTGTGGTATGGATTTTTTAACAGGACAGACCCCTTTTTAATGGGGTGACATCTGTTAATTCAGCCTCCTAAACAATCCATCAATTTTTTCTCTTTAGAGCGATCTTCATTCAGGAAGAAAGCTTTAAGTTATCTGGTCTTATTGATCCTGCCATCAGTGGGGCCCCCCAGGAAGTATGGCACAGCTCAAACTGAACTAAAAGATGGATTGATTGTATTTTCCAAGGCTGCATCATGCCAAAACTTCGTTTATGTGAAACCAACGATTTTATCTTAGTATCTGACATCAGGATCTTCCACAGATAAATCACAGAGGCAGTACAAACTGCATAATGCTCTTTATTTATTTTCTTACCTGGGACTGTGCTTGAAGAGTTCGTTTCAGTTCATCACTCTCTGAAAAGGGCATGGAGCTTTTGTCACAGGCTACCTTGTGTAGCTCTTCAAAGCACTTTGCAGATTTGCTGTGGCAAACTGCTTGTAAGTAGGCAGGATTTTTCAAGCCACTCATGGCACATTCGTAAAAAGTCCCGTTGAGCAAAGCCACAGAAAGCCACATCACTGGGGCTACCAGAGCATTTAAAGTGATTTGTCCAAAGACGTAAAAGAAATGGCAGGTATTCCCTCTGGGGAATATTTTTCTGGGATTCACCCAGCAGCCTGTAAAGAGCTTCCAGGTCTTGCTGTTCAAGAAATATCCAATAACTAGCAAAACAAAAGCTGGGGAGAAGAGAAATACCAAACCGTACCTGAAGTTTTCATTGCTGCAGGGGCATCTGAAAGCAACAAGAGAAAACACACGTTCACCTCCCATTGTCAGCAGCGCCATAAAACTGTAACCTATAGCGGTTTTCCGGTTCATAAAGAATTTCAGGATTGTTTGGAAACCATCCATGTTTGATACTCACTAAAGAGGTAAAAATCAAATTTTGTCTTCGGTCGTAGCAGTCGGTAGTGGTGTAGCAGGGGAGAGCTCTCCAGAAGAACAACAGCCTGCTGCTAGCCTGCCTGCCTACGCGCTGTCTAGATAATGCTGTGATGTCACTGTCTGGAGAAACGCACTCACAGGGGACCCCTCCACTAGCAGAGCAGATGTTGCACATTTACAGTAACATTCATCAGTAGTAGAAAGCGAGCAAGCAATGCTCTGTATAATCAAATAAGTTCGCAGTCTTGGCAGTCTTATTCTTGGCGGGTTGGGTTTTCTTGTGACTGCAGATGGAGATCAGAGTGAAAACACACACTCACCAGTTGCAGGAGTTCTTGAGCTGTGATTATCAAAGTTGCTGGCAATGTAGTGAAGGACCTAATATAAATGCTAATGGACCGAGGGGAGCGTGACCTGACTGAAAGCAGACGAGTGATAACAGTAAAACCACTTTGTATGGGGTTGTAAATGTAGGAACATCAAAGACAGAACAAGCAGCCTTCTGCTGTACTTCCCTGGAGTATCACATAGCTCCAGATACACATCTCTGGGTCAAGCTGATCGCAGAAGAGACAAATCTAGTTTGATTTCCAGCCTATCTGGCCCTTCCCCCTATTTTCCTGGAGTAAAGCTAGTCTACAGGATGCTGCATCCTAACGTTTCAGCTCCCATTTGCACACAGCAGATTCAAGCAGTGGAGTTTCATCCTTTTGCAGGTTGCTTTCAAGATGTACCTTGGCGTCACCCCTAGTGTGACCTGCAGTAGTGCCGCAGGAAATGAATTCTCCTTAATCCTGGACAAAAACCCACTAGTGGACTTTGTGGAGGAGCTGCCAGCAGAACGAGCATCCCTTTGCTACTGTAACCTCCTCTGTGGGGTGATTCGAGGTGCCTTGGAAATGGTAAGGAATTGCACATCTGTTTTCTCCATTCTTTGTTAATATACAGAGACACAGGAAAGGAAAACCACTTGCTCAGATAAATGAAGGAAATTCAGTAGCGTTTAATCTCTCTCTCAGATGAAATGTTTATACCTAAATGAAAGAGGGCCAGACTGATCCTGGATCCTGAGGCAGAGAAGCACACAGGTTGGCTCACCTGCACACGGTCCCTACGTGGCTCTTCAGTGGCTGACTCGGGTGCAAAAGCCAGGTGGGACCAGGGAGCCAGCTAACACATAACGTGGGCCAGGGGGGCATACTGGACAACTCTGCTGCTCCTTGAGTCTATCTCATTGTCCTGTATAGGTGTAACCAGTAATAGCCATCCCTGATTCTTTCCAAATACATGAAGATAAATAATATTCTGAGGTTACCACAGCACCTGCCGAAAGGGAGAACAAAGCGTGGATGAGTCTAATGTTAAAACCAAAGCATCAGAAGTGTATCAGATGGCATTCCAAATTTTGTTCTTAAATTTAAGACTTTTACAAAAGAATAAACAAAGGGCATCATTTGAAAGTCACTGAGGGGTACAGCTTCTGTGGCATTTCCTGGAAGATAATTTTTGGGCTGCTTTATGTTTCTGTCAATATCTAATTTGTCATATATCTTATGTTTCAAGAAAACAAAAGCTGTACAAGTATTACGTATGTACATCAGTCTCAGAATTATAGTATGTGATATAAGACTAACTGACAAAAGTATTATGTCATAAGTATTAGTACATGACCAGGAAATTTTGTGATCACAAAATCATCAAGTATGCAGTTTAGGTTCTTGGAAGAAAGCAAAGTACTGGAATGAAGGGTAATGTATTATACAAATTCCAGTGTATAAAAACTTCCTTTTTATTAACTTAGTTGGGAAAGATATTTTAAAATAATCCAGAAATCTGTTTCTTATGAAACCTGAGAAAGGAGGTCCCCTTGTGGTAAAAGAGAGAGAAAAAGCCCAATATACTGGAGGAGGCGGGGGGGCTGAAACTGATCATTTCTTTGCTTAACTGATTAGACCTAATTCTTTCTAGGTTCACTTAGCAGCAGAAGTTACCTTCCTCCAGGACAGGTTGAAGGGTGATGCTGTGACAGAAATAGGAATTACGTTTTTAAGGAAGGCTGAAGACAGAAAGCACAAAAGAAATAAATGAAAAAAATATTGAAGAAACCCTTGCTGAGGGTTATCATGCACCTTTTGTTTCTGAAGAAGACATGCAGGGTAAAAATGGCTTTGCTAAGCCAGCTGCACCAGTCATACATTTGAAAGGTGAAGAGAGCCAGGCAGCAAACAGGAAGGGCAGACCAGGGGACAAGCGTTGTTAATTGTCATGACACAGATATCACTACAAAAGATCAAAATGGCCTGCCCTTCCTTCTCACATAACCATGCTCTTGAGCTCAATGAAAGTTTTATCTCAGTATTTAGTGCACACTGGATGCAAAGTATTTATTCGGACAGCAATTGTTTTCAGCTAAACATGACCAACTTTTCTCATTTTGTTTGTGGGTAATGTTTCAAAGCATGGTTGCTAAGAGGTGCTTTATTTCCTGGCTGTTTGTGATTAGGAGTAATGAATTCTTCCGCTGTGACTGCTGTATGCATTGTCTTGCTGTCAGGTGCCTGTTTTGATGTGTAATGGTTTGCCATTCATTGTCCTCCACGCTGGACATCCTGCTCCCTTTGAAACCAGAGGGGGATGCAGCTTCACTGCTGGCAGTGCTGGTTCAGTTTGTTGTGGCTCTCTCAGGCCCCACACGCAGTTTTGCTGGCATGCCTGTTCAGCCCCATGCATATGTCAGGCTGCAGCACTCTGATCACCGCAGCAGTGCTTGTGTTGCTTCAAGCTATGGGCCTTTCCATGTCAGTCTTTTCTTCAAAGAGCACTGATCTTATGACCAAACTGAACAAAGCATGGCGTATTTAATGTGTAGTCACTGTGGACCTGTACTCACCTAAGGAAACTTGAATAAAAATTCAGAGCTTGCCACACAACTGGTTTGCTGGTGGTTGTGTCTGTGCTTACCTGACCTTCAGCACTGGCCGTTGAACATCTTCCCCTTGGCAGTGGACTTGTTACCACAACATGACTGGGAAGCAGAGAAATAGCAGCCTCACAGAGACCTGAGTACAGGAAAGGTTTAATGTTGTCCAGTGTAATGCAAGATATCTGGGTAAGGGTTGGACAAAACCCCAAGTCCTAGCACAGTACCCTACCTGCAAAGCCAGCTCACCTTCTTCTCACCAAAGTGTTTGTTTTAAATGGAAATACAAGCCCTTAATTCAGTTCAGTGAAGCCCAGAGTTGATTCTGATTTTATCGCTGTGATTTGTACCCTCATCTCCTATTTTTTCCTCAGTCTGTTTACCTCTTAATCCTGCTAAGTGAGGGGCACCTCTTACCTTGGGGACAGTGGGGTTCATTCCCACCAAATCTGTACAATCCTCATGATAATCTTTCTCCCTTCGTTTGTCTTAACAGTGTCGTACAGTGGTGGCGTAGTGTAATGGAGCTTTAAGAGAACAATTTTGTACAGAACAAAAACTAAGCTATTCATTACCCAGCCTTGGCTCAGCCCAACATGCTGTTTCCTGCTACAAATAAGGAGTTACAACATGTAACAACATGTTACAAGTAGTAATAAGTTTCCCTATTTTTTTTTTTTTTTAATCGGGGCTGGAAGCTCTCATGGAATTTGCGTGATTTCACTGCCTGTACAGGAGCCCTCAGTGGGATTTTTGCTGGTTATGACCAGCTGGCTGAGATGCACATGTGGCAACTTTGGCTGACCACAAAAAGGTTTTTTACAAGGCAATGGCCATTTTTCTTCTTTGCCAGCAACATCCTACCAACCTAACATTCTCCTCTTTTTATTATTATCTTGAAAGTGAATAACCTATCCTGTCCTTCTTTTGTAAGATACAATTCTCTTACTTAAACCTCTGTTGCATTAGACCTGCATGCAGGTATGTGTGCATGCACACATCTATGGTAACATTTTCTGTTGGGGTCTGCACCAGCTAAAAAGAATCAGTCACCACATTGCAGTGACATGTAGGCTGATTCCTCTGTATTCAGGGCTTATTAAGGAGTTCCTGCCTGCAGGCATTAGCTAGCAAAGTCAGGGCTGGATATTACAACATTTTTAAAGGAAGGACCATTAGCGTCATCCTGGGACCTTTGCAGTCTTGCCACACTGGCTTTGCCGTGCCCAAGGCTTCCTCCCCTTCCTTCAATGTCAAACATTTGCAGTGATGCTCCATGTAGAACATCAAAGCTGTTTCTTTACGTTTCAGTATTTCAGAATAAACAGCCTGAGGAAATCTTGCCTTCTGCTTGGACATGGTAAGTTTTGAAGGATAAGTTTCCACTGTGCAAATGAACATATAGCAGAAATGCCTGAGCCAGTCAAGGCAGCACAGATTTGAGACCAAGCCAAGAGGCGACATGAGACTGCCAGACTAGGCTGGGTGCTAGTTCATACTCATGTCATATCCCGCTGGTGCATCTGGTCGTGCATCAATCATTATTCTTGGCTCATCGCTGTGCTGGACAGACATGCTTAATGCACACGTTTTGCTGTTAGTGTTTTTTGTGTTGTCTTCCTACACTGGATCATCTCATCCATTGTATTCTAAAAATGAAGTAAATAAATGTTAAGTAGAAAAACAGTAATAAACAACAGAAAAAACAGTGGCCCACACTACGTTACCATTAGTTGCTGACATTAGCTACCCTATGCACATACAGTTTTTTGCTTGTCTCACTTGGTAGCATAGGCACAGAAGTGTTCCTCAGTGTTTCATTTGAACGTAGGCCCTTCTTTTGAAGGTGTCTAAAGGAGCACTCACAAGTGTGCTGAAGCTTCTCTTTGAAATTTCTTTCGTTATAAATGTAATTATGTACAGCAGATATGAGTGTTACATAAAGGTGAGGAAAAATCAACATTCAAACATGACTGCATATAAAACCAATATATAAATATCTGTGTCTATCCTTATACACAGGTACAAATTTTTACTTCCCCCAGAAGTCACTTTATCTGTGAAAAATAGACAGACATCTTTGCCAGCAAACTTGAAGATGTATATTGCAGTCCAACTTGAAGCCTTTGCTCATTGACTCTCTGTGTCTTCCCTGGAAAGCTGAGGCAGCTTTTGTAATGATGCCCTGGCAGTTGCAACGGTGAGTGAGTGGGTGTTGCAGATGGAGAGATGCACTTCACTCACAAGAGAGAAGCAGCAAGACATTTATTGATATAAAACAGTGATTTAACAGTTTGATAGTAAATATGACAGTGGTTTAACAAGATTTGATGTCAAGGTACACTTGATTATTTACTGCAGAGAGGACAGGGCCAGACAAAACTGTTAGGGAGACCCTCCCATTGAGTCACAAGGTACAGAGAGGACTCCCTTGCATTCTAAACTCCTTCCCTTAGAGGATTTTAGGTGTGGCTGGATCCAAACTTAGTCCTGGACTTCATCAACACTTTATGTCTAAAGGATTATATGTGCACAATCAATCTAGGATATAATCTTAGCGAAGCTTAAAAAGTTTAGCAAGCTATTAGTCACTTACTGAGCATCTGTTGCGGCAAAGAGTCTCTCAATATCTAGGAGTAAGGGATCTCTGCGGCAGGTGTAGCCTTGAGAGGCATCCCTAATTCAAGGGGAGATCCTGGCACGCAGCCCACTGCGGTGCAGAACTCAAAGGACTCTTGGGCTGCTCACTATTTATGGGGGTAAGATGATTGACTCACTCATATTTGCATACTGACCAGAGATTTTAGTTTCTTCCAAATTTGGCTTGAGTTGGACATTGACCAGCACTGTGGTTAGGTGGGCGCATTGCTCAAATTAGCCCTTGGCTATTGTGTTGTTATGTGTCTCCTGAATCCACTTTGAGCCAGATGCATCCATCAGGACTGCCACTGGTGGCTATCGCTTGAGCCAGGCTACTGGAGATCAAGGTCAGGTTAGGGAAGCAGGGGAAGCACACTGTTACAGTGGGAAGTGACAAAAGCCCACCCAGATGCAGCTGAGAGGATTAACATGAATTCTGAGGGTATTTTCACTGCAGCTTCTCATCAGGAAATTAAATAAAGCATGGCTTGCTCCTGGAGGCTTTCAGTCTGTCCTGAAGTTTTTTATTATATCTCTAAGGTAAAGCCTGGCCCCACTGCATCAAGGAACATTTTGGCACTGATCACAGTGGGGCCAGGACATTGTTTCCTTCCTGTTTACGACATTTCAGAGTAGATTTATCTTTCTCTAGATGTCAGTGAACAAATGAACTCTTCAATATGAGAGGTAAAATAAAATATTTTTAACTGAACTGTGCTTCTTGGAGGCACAAGTAACAAATTGGACACTTGTCACTCTTAATCATCAAGTTTCTTGGAAGGAAAAGAGCACTGAGCAAGTCAGTGACTCTGTGACAAAATGAATGCTTTTTAAAATTCTTTTCTACATTGTGGTGGGTTGAGCTTGGCTGGACACCAGGTGCCACCAAGCCACTCTATCACTCCCTTCCTCAGCAGGACAGGTGGGGAGAAAATGAGATGGGGAAAAAAACCCCCAAAACTTGTGGGTCAAGATAAAGGCAGTTTAATAAAAAAAAAGCAAAAGCAAAGGCCGCATGTGGAAGCAAAAGAGAACAAAGATTTTCCCTACTTCCCATCAGCAGGCGGTGCCCAGCCACTTCCTGGGAAGCAGTGCTTCGGTATGCGTAGCAGTTGCTCTGGAAGACAAATGTAAATAACAAATGCCTCACTTCCTCCTCCTTTCTCTCAGCTTTTGTCGCTGCACCAATGTTGTATGGTATGGAGTATCCCTTTGGTCAGTTTGGGTCAGCTGTCCTGGCTATGTCCTCTCCCAAGATCTTGCCCACCCCCAGCCTACTTGTGACGGGGGGGAAATGTTGGAGAGACAGCCGTGATGCTGGGCGAGCACTGCTCAGCAGCAGCCAAAACCCTGGTGTGTCATCAACACCTTTCTAGCTGCCAGTACAAAGCACTATGAGGGCTGCTATGGGGAAGATTAACTCCATCTCAGCCAGACCCAATACATATGTGCAGAATTAAATCTTGTCTTCCCTCTATGTGTCATATTTTCAGTTTACAATAAGAGTGAAGCTTCCAAGCTAGTTATA